CCAAAAATAATCCATGAAAGAAAAGGTGATAAATTGGACTTCACTAAAATTTTAAACCACTTCTCGTTGAAAGTCACTGTTATGGCAAAGGAAAAGTGGAAACCACAGATTCGGAGAAAATATTTGTAAAACGCGTATGGTAAGAGACTGGCGTTCATAATATATTCTTAAACTTTAAATTTGATAATAAACAAAATGCCAATATAAAAATGAGCAAAATTTTTAAACAGGCATTTGACTCTAAAAAATAAACAACAAATATGCACACGAAAAGATATTCACCATCATTACACCTTAGCAAAATGCAAATGAGGGCCACAGTTTGATAGGGCTACGTGCATAAACAAAACAACAAACAAAACTCAAACAACAAGAAACAGACAGTAGCAAGAACTGCCAAGGAGGAAGGGCAGCCAGAACTGTCCTATGATGCTGGTGAGAATGTGAAAGGACGGGTTTATTTCAGAAAACTTTGGCAGTTTCCATATGGTAAAACATTTATTTTCTATAAGACACAAGAAATTCAAGCATAGATATTTATCCAAGAAGAATAAAATCTTAAATTTATACAAAAATTTGTACATCAGTGTTTACAGTAGCTTTATTGATAATTATAAAAACCTAAAGGGTTGGGGATTTGCCTTAGTGGTGCCACTACCTGCCTTGCAAGTTGAAATGAACTACTGATAGACCCAGCAATGCCTCTGAATCTGAAAAGAATTATTCTGAGCAAAAGAACCCAGATGAAGAAGTCTACATACTATATAATTTCATTCATATCAACAGAAAAGGAAAAATCACGGGACAAGACTAGATCATTGCTCACTGTGGGCAGGTGGACAGGGAGGTCAGTTGACCACAGGAGAGCAAGAAGGAATTATTTGGGAGGGATGGAAACATTCCATATCTTGACTGTGGGCCTAGTTAGTTGACTATGCACTTGTCAAAGTTCACAGAACTGTATCATTCAAAGGTTGAATTTTACTGTATATAATTATACCTTAATGTGGGGATCAAATCCTGGGCCTTGGAGTCGCAAGGTAAGCACTCTGACACTGAGGTATATTCCAAAATCTATTGATTTTATGTGTTTGTTTATATTTTGGTACCGGGGACTGAACTTGGGCCCTTGCACTTGCAAGGCAGGCCCCGGAACCACTGAGCTAAATCCCCAGCCTGACCTATTGATTTTAAACGATCACATAAAGGAACTTCAGCCGGGCGTCGTGGCGCATGCCTGTAACCCCAGCACTTGGGAGGCTAAGGCAGGAGGATCGCTGTGAGTTCGAGACTAGCCTGGGCTACACAGTGAGTTCCAGGTCAGTCTCAATATGTAGTGAGACCCTGTCTCAAACAAAAAAATAAAACACATAAAGGAACTTCAGAATAGCAACATAGCTGGTAAGCCTTTTTAGAAGTATTACAGTAAAAAAATGATGAAAAATTATATAATTATAACACATTTTGATTATCCACTGCTGGGTGACAAACTACCCCAATCTCAACCCTTTAAAAAAAATTAATGGCCCAAAGCAACAACTATTCAAATACATCTCCCAATTCTGTGACTGTTGAAGCAGGAGAGGGCAGCTGGGTAATTCTTCTGGGCCCCTGCTCATGCCTGGGGTCACTCAGTGGCATGTGGCCAACTGGCGAGGTCCAGGTAGCGCTTGCTTACCTGACAGCTTGGTGGGGTCAGGTTGGTGGCTGGGCTCACACGGCCCTCTCTGCCTTTGTGTCTAGAGTATCTGTGGCCATTTCAATCTGCCATAGCCCCCGTTATATTAATGTCTCTAACAATAATTACTGATGGCTCCAAACATCAAAGGATAAAGAAAAACACCGGAAAATAGATGTTACATGACTCCTACTGGAACCACAAAATAATACACAGGAAGTAGTTCTACTTTTTAAAAAACTCAATCTGAATCAGATCAGGTGTGTAAATCAACATACTAATTTAAAGAAAATGAAAGGGACAGAGGAACATATTAAATACAGCATGAAAGGTAATATATACATGCACACATAGATCTTATAATATTGTGTAATTACTTTATAATTACATGTGTGAGTCCAGATGTTGGAAGAGCCCAGGATCAATAAGCAAACCTAGTGACCAAATCTTAGTTTTTACATGGTATTCTCACCCACCCTCCCAAAAAAACCCAGGGCTCCTCGGGGAAATGACACTTGGCCTGGTACAGGGAGCCTGGAGCACGTTGTTTAACTACAAAGACAAGCTCAAGGAAGTCAGAAACGTGTCTGAAGGAAACAGGAACCAGCCTGAAGGGGTTTGTACTTGCCAAAATCTGTGATGATTTGATTATTGAAACTGGTAACAATGACAATGACTTCTCACCGGTTTAAACAAATAAAGGAGAAAGATCTTCCACAGATAGAGTAGAAACCAATGCATAAATATAAAAGGTCTACCAATAAAAAAGGTAGAAAAATATTTTTTAAAATATGAAAGGTCTGATGAAATCAGAAGACTGCTATGTGGTAGCCAGAGGAATCAAGCGAGGGAAGAAGTACTTGATACACACTCAGACAGAAAATGAGGTAATGACACAGGGGTACAGTGGTCCACATCAATCCTCCCACACGCGACAAATATAGAAATTGCAAAGAAATGTTTAAAAACATTACTGCAAGGTACTTAAAATGTACAAACATAGATAAAATTGGAGGGTTTAATATAAAACACACTGGAAGGGGCAAAATCTGTGTGCCTATAGCTATATAGCATAAGCCCCAACTTCACAGGTATCAGCTGCAGAAATCTGCAATGAAACCACGTCTTACCAATTCAAGGTATTTTCAGGCAGAGTTAATGTCAGGCAGGAAAAAGCAGATGGAAGTTTTAATAGGAAATTCTGTGAGTGAAAGAATTACAGAAGGAGAAAGACCTGAATTCTGAATATACTCTTCCCAGTTCCCTGATTCACAACCCACATGTGTGCAGGGGAAACCTCAAGGTCTTGGTGGAACAGGAAGCAGAGGCCAAACAAAGATCTGCTCTTCACAGAATTGCAGAAGGTGAGATCTGTGCGTTTGCTTTTTTTTCTTCTAAGTGCGTTCCCCAACCATGCACACACTGAGAGACAAAACCCTAAGCCATACAGGAATGATATATCATGCAGACCCTGAAGCTTTCACAGCAACTGGAAATTAGGTGGAAATCTGCAGAATCAAGAAGCAACAGAAAGGTGCTTTGCTGATGACCAAATTAAGACGGATCAGGGAAGACCCCCACGGACCAAGGCCAAAAAAGTAGCAATGAGAAATGTTAGGAACAGAACACAGATATCAGGTGCTGCATACCACAGGGGAGAAGTTCCCAGATTGAATCTGGGCAACTTAATTGTCTATTAGAACAACAAGGCAAGGGTCCTCAGAAAAACACAACAGAATTCAGCGTCCACAGTGTATTATTTGTAATGTCCAATATTTTGTTATCAGATATGTTCCCTACCTGCCATCAGAAATGAAACAGAAAGCAAGATAGTCAGCAAAAACTGAATATGATGAAACCAGATGTTGGCTTTAGCAGAGAAAGACTTCCAAAAGACATCAGAGAGACGTTCAAAGAATTAAAGGAAAAATGACATAAATGGATAAACAGATATAGAAGCACAACAGAGAAACAGAAACTCTTTGGGGGTCATTCTAGTGCTCTAAAGTTCAACAACTGAAATAAAAATTTTACCAGAAAGGCTCAGTCATATATGTGAGATGGCAGAAGAAAGATTGACAGAAATTAACCAGTTGCAAGAACAATGATGAGAGAAATATTGAAGAAAATGAGGGAAATGCTGATTAGATATTTGATCATACTAAGAAATTATCATTGTAGATATCATATTATGATCGATATATAGAAATGGTTATGTGTCATTTACAATGTACCACGGTTAGTGTTTTAAAATAGTCATTTTATATATTTTAAGATAAAGATATTTGGGGCCAGGGATTTGGCTCAGTGGTGCCACTGCCTGCCTGGCAAGTGCAAGGTCCTCAGTTCAATCCCGTACCAAATTAAAACAACAACAAAAAAAAGACAAAGATATTTGATGACAGAAGTCTATATCAAAATAATTGTGAATGGGGAATTACTAGTACTAAATGGATATGATGACCCAAGACTGGCTGAACTGATAATTAATGAAGCTTTATTATTGTTACTTTTCTGTATATTTGAAATGTCCAAAATAAAAAGAGCTAGAAGTGTAGCTCAGCAGCAGGCCACTTACTTGCCTGGCACCCATGAGGCCTTAGATTCAATCCGAGCACTGCAAAATAAAAAAAAAAATTGAAAGTGAGAATCTCCAGAAATGGACTTTGAGAAGTTTGATACAGCAACTTAGTAACACCACCAAGACAGTGAGAGGTCAAAAACAGTAAGAGAAATGCAGATGGCCCCGGAGGGGCCTATTGGTAGACTACACCATGCACCCAGGCAGATTCCAGTAAGGTGGAGCAGGAAAGACCAATACAGTGAAGCATGACCCCAACTTCTTTGCATCATAACATGTGACAATGACAACAATGCGTGGCCTATTACCCACTCAGGGGCCAGGGACAGGGAAGCTCTGCAATACAGGACTGGCCCCAACCCTGGCCAATGTTCCTCCTTTTTCTGTCACCCTGAAGGCTTCATCTCATCCACAACAGTTTCAAAGAACTCCCTAATTTCAGCTCCCTCCTTGGTCTGCATTTCACTTGCATGCTAAGGGTAAAGGATTACAGAGGTCACCACCAAGGCCTTGTCATTACTAATCTCATCTTTTCACAACCTTCAAATGACAGGAACAGTTCAACTAGAAAGCAATATAGAATACAGACATTTGGAGCCATACCTCCCATCACCTGAAAGCTTGACCAGGGCTGGAGGATCTACTTGCATGACAGCCCACTTACAAGGCTGCCGGCAGGGGGCTGCAGTTGCTTTCCAAGTGGGCTTCTTCATGGGTAGCTGGCTCCCTGCAAAGCAAGTGGCCTAAGACAGCAAAGAGGGAAGCCACAGTGCCTTTCACATCCTCACCTCCAAAGTCACACATCATGATTTCTGCTTTATTCCATTCAACAGAATTGAGTGCCCAGTCCAGTCCATGCTCCAAGGATTCAACTTTCTTTCACTAATTTCACCTGTTTCAGAGTCTTCATATGTATATAAAGTGTCCACTGAAAGAACTATATACAAAGGTGTGTCCTGTATTTCACTGTTACATCAATTTACTTTTGGATGTTAAACCAACTTTGCATTCCTGGGACAAATTTCACATTGTTGTGGCCTTTGATCTTTTAATGTTGGTGGACTCGGTTTTCTTAGTTCTTTTTCAATTTTCTTGAAGTGGGAGCCTTGGTTTTTTGAGACCTTTCTTCTGTCACAAACATAGGCATCTGCAGCTGTAACCCCCTTCCACACACTGCTGTAGCTACATCCCACACATTTTCTTATGTTGCGCTTTTGCTTTAATTTTGTTTACAATATTTTTAGCTTCTCTTGTCATTTGTTGTTTATTCATAGGTTACTTAGAAATATGTTAATTTATAATATTTGGGGTTTCCTGAGGTTGGTTTCTGTTGTGGATCTCCATTTTAATTCAAACATGACCAGACAACATATTTTATAAGATTTCAGTCTTCAAAGTTGAGTCTTGTTTTGTGGTTCCTTTTATAATCTATCCCATGTGCTTTGGCAAAGAATATACATATTTTTAGTTTTTCAGTTAGAGTTTTCTACAAATGTCCAGTCTGGTTGATGATGTTGTTCAAGCCTTTATTGATTTTTTTAAATGTGATAAATGCACATGAAATAAAATTTGTCATTTTCATCATTTTGAAGTTTTTGGCATCATTAAGTACTTTCACATTGTTGTGATACAGATCTCCAGAACTTTCCCATCTCGCAAAACTGACACTCTATGCCTTGAAACAACAAGTTGCCTCTCTTCTGCTTCTGAGTCATTGATAACCACCATTCTACTTTCTCTCTCCATTAATTCAATTCAAAAATCATACCCTATTTATGTAGAATTATACAGTATTTGTAGGACTAGCTTATTTCACTTAGCATAATCTTCTCAAGGTTCCTGTTCATGTAGTAAGCACCAAAATTTCCTCTTTTTAAGACAGAATAATATTCCACTGTATGTATATACCATGTTTTATTTATCAGTTCATCACTTGATAGACATTTGGGTTGTTTCCACCTCTTGGGTACTGTCAATACTGCCATGGACAGGCAGATCTTGCTCCAAATTCTTTTGGATATATTCCTACAAATGTGATAGCCGAATTATATGGTAGTTATTTTTAATTTCAGGAGTAACTGCTATAGAGCTTGCATTATTTCACCATCCCACCACTGCTGAATTTTGTATTCCAGCTGTTTATCAATTATTCAGAGTAAGGCATTGAAATATTTAAGTGTTATTGTTGAATTACCCACATTCCTCTCAATTCAATAAAATTTTTGCTTCACATACTTCGAATTAATCAATACAGCATAATATGTATATACACACATAATTATATCTACTTTATGTGTGACTCATTTATCATTATATGTCTCTAAAGTCTTAAACTCTGTTTTGCCTAACACTGATACAGAAACCCCAACTCTTTTATGGTTACTGTTTATATGTATACCTCTTCTCCATTGTTTTGCTTTCAACTTATTTGTGTCTTTGAATCTATAGTGTACTCATAACAGACAGCAGATTGCTGAGTTTTGTTTTTCCTTTCAGTCCATCTCTGTCTTTTTGGCTATGCAGTCTGTTTTCGTTGAATAAAGTTTCTGATATGGTTGGATTTATGTTGCCACTTCGCTATGTGTTCTCGATTTGCCTCATTTTTTTGCTTTATGTCACATGTGTTTTCATGGACCACTTTGATTTACCTGTAAATTTTTTACTATATTTTGAGTTTTTCATTATTCTGATTGCTCTAGAGATTATAATGTACATCTTAATTTAGCAAATCTGTTTCAGAATAACTCAGGACCTTGTGCTTGCAAAGCAGGCATGGTACCACTGAGCTAAATCCCCGGCCCCAGAATAACACTAATTTAACTTCAGTAAAATATAGAATCTTTACTTCAATATATCTCATTTTTTCTCCTCTTTTGCTATTATAGATACAACAATACAATGTTATAATTACTGCTTATACCACATATGTCACATATATATATTTAAAAGCAACAGAAAAAATAGTCTATTTAGAGTGACTCATATTTATCATTTCTGGTATTCAATTTCTTTTTGTGAACTGACGTTACTGTGTAGTGTTACTTTCAGCTTGAAGAATTTCCTTTAATATTTTTTGTAAAGCAAGTCTGTGAGCAACAAATCTCTTAGTCTTTGTTTATCTGAAACTATTAACTTCACTTCAATTTTTTATATTTGTTGGATATACAGTTTTTGGTTGACAGTTTACTTTCTTACAGCATGCTAAATATGTCACTCCCCTGCCTTTGGCCCCCACTGTTTTGCATGAAAAGTCATTTATTAATCACATTTCCCTTTTCAACTTCAAAAATAGGAGCATACACAGGCAAAAATGTCATAGATTCATGGTGTTCTTACTTAAAGTTTAGTAATCTTGACTAATAAATGCTTCTCGGTTTGTGGGATACCTCTGTTCTGTTCCGTCTGAAGTAGCTATTTTTGTCAGTTTTATTCAGCATTACTGCTGCTTTTGGGGGCAGAATACGTTGGCTTCAATCTGCCATCATGCCAAACATAAGACAATGATTTTTTTTTTGCAGGTGAAACAAGAAGCCACTGAGGCATTATCAAGCAAAGGAGGGCCATGATCTTGTGTTTTATATGAAATATTTTGGATTCTCTATTAAACAATTATTGACATATATGAAATCACCTCAAATCCGTGTGCTTAAAACAACACGTTACTTTATAGTTTCTTCTGTTGGCCAGAAATTTTGAATCAGCTTACCTGGATGGTTCTGATTCAGGATCTCTTGTGAAGCTGCAATCAAGAGGTCAGCTGGGAGGCGGGTGGGGTGGAGACTCCATCTCTGCTCATTTATTTGGCTGCTATAGAAGCAGTTTCTCCATAGGGTTGCTCAGAACTTGGCATCTTCCCTCCGACAAAGTGAGGCATCCAAGAGACAAGAGGGCCAACATAAGTAACCTAAAAGACAGAATGGCCAAGACATCTTTTTTGTTTGTTTGTTTGGTTGGTTTTTTTGAGACAGGGTCTCACTATGTAGTTGAGACTGACCTGGCACTCATTATGTAGTCCAGGCTGTTTCTAGAACTCACAGCGTTCCTCCTGCCTCAGCCTCCCGAGTGCTGGGTTTACAGGCGTGCACCACCATGCCTGGCCAAGATGTCTTTTTTTAATGACCCAGTCAATATAGCCTTCCAAGGTTTCTGCTTTATTTCACTCATGAGAAGTGAAGTAGAAGTTCAGCAACTTAACATTCAAGGGAAGGGAAATAAAGCACCATCTCTTTGAGAGAGGAGAAATAAAAACCGCAGGGATAAACAGTGGACCCTTCCCTTGCAAACTCCATCAGTTCCTGAGGGCTAGTTGTAATTCAAGTTGGTGGTATGTCTGAGATTTGGATGTTTACCTGGGTAGACGCTACAGATAACAAGAAGCAGATGAACCTTCCATTAACCTAATTAATCCACGTTGTTTGAATGTCAGGCTGGTGATAACTTGAGGGCCCACTGTACTTTGTAAACCACCATGGTACTTTTTGGAGAATGGACTGTTACAGAATAAGGATAATGAGTCAGACCAGTCTGAACTATTTCATTGCCCAGGTGAGAGCTGACAGGAACGTGGGCTAAGATGGTGGCAGTAAAGCGGGAGACAATTGGATAGATTTGAAATACTTTCTAAGTGGATCAGATGTGCCTTTGGATAGGATAGAAGTAGATGGGGAAGAGAAGCTAAGGATGATTTTCTGGTGTCTGACATTGGTAGCTGTGGTGCTGAGGGTCTCATGACCATCTAAGAAGGAAGAGAACAGATGGATCAAGAGCAGTGGTTGGGGGGTGTTCACAGAGATATCCAGTTCCCATGGGAACCATAACAATAAAGTTAAGAAGCAGTCAGTTCAGTCAAATACTCAAGTTTGGACACCAGAGAGGATCAAAAGCTAGAGATACAAAGTTGAGAGTGCTCAGCCTATAGATGGTTCGGAAGATGTAGGGTCAATGAGGTCCCATAGGAAGAGCAAGGAAGTAGACAAGAGGTCAATATCCAAGTGCTAGGAACTGCAATATCTAAAGAGGCAGAGGGACAACAAAAAGAGCAATCTGAGAAGGGATAGCTGATGAAGTAAGAGGAAATCAGGAGGTCACACTTTAAGGTCAGCAGTGTCGTGTCTGTGTCAGAAACTGTGAGATCAGAAGTGTTCTTCAGACATGGAAAACAGCACCGGTATGAAGGACAGAGAAGATGGGTGGTGGTAGGCTGGAGTGTGAACACAAGAGGAGTTAAAGGTTTGGGCATTTATAATATACTCACTGGCTAAGACCCTTCAAACCCCAGTCTGCCAGACCACCTAAGCCTTTCCCTGATGTGTCGACATTATCCACATGCCTGTCCTCATACTGCTCACTGTCAAGTCTCACATGGATATCACATTGTCCCTACTGGTCTCCCAACCTTGACTTTGCTCTCCTGAGGTCTTTCTCCACAGGACAGCCAGAATGAGCAGCAAACCTGTAACTGATCACCTCACTCTTGTGTTTAAAAGCCTTCTAAGATCGCTTCTCGGCCTTTTGGCTAAGATCAAGTGTAAAAGCCTTCTAAGGCTAACACTGTCCATGGAGATGACATCCAATCCCCTTATAAGTCTCCAGGTCATGTGGCTCCTACCTACTTCTCCCCACTTTCCCTCTCTTCCTTTTTCATATCTGTACTGCAGTCATTTTCTTTTACTATCACCTTTTATTTTCTCCATTTTGCCCTATTCTTTGTCCTCCAAGTTCAAGTCTTAAATCTCCATGTAAACATGTTTTCCCTGGAAAGAGGTATGTGTGTGTGCGTGTGTGTGTGTGTGTGTGTGTGTACATATGCACACACACTACTGGGGATTGGACACAGGGCTTTCACCCCAAGCTACAGCCTCAAGTCATTTTTATTTCAAGATGGTCTTGCTAAGTCATTAAATGGCCTGGACTGGGCTCAAACTTGCCATCCTCGTGCCTTGGTTTTCTACAGTGCTGGAATTATAGGCATGAGCCATGATGCCCACCTGGAAAGGTTCTTCTTAAGTCCTCTTTGAGGTCCTTGAATCTTCCTATCATTACAGACAGCTTCTCTTTTCTTTTTCTTTGCCATTAGTCCAATATATACTTTATCTCTGGCTGAGCAATATTATGTTTTAGATCTAAAATTTCCCCCAGAAGACTCATGTGTCTCAGTGGATGGGCTTCTGGAAAGCAACTAGACAGTGAGGCTCTATCTTCACCAGTGGACTAACCCACTAACGAGATGATAATTTAATAGCATTATTAGAAAGTGATGCAAACAGGAGGTGGGGCCTAGTTGAAGGGAGTTGATATTAGGGTCCTGACCTTAGGGACTGTTTCTTGTACCAGCCCCTTTCTCCCTGGCTCTAAACCTTTCTCTTTGCTTCCTGGCTGCCATGATGTATACAGCTTTGTCCCCCCACCTCCTACTAAGTTAATCTGGACATTCTAGAAAAGACTTCTCAAAAACACAAGTCAAAAATATCTCAGGAGGCAAGACCTATAGTTCTAGTTATTCTAAGTCACTGTACTGTGACTTATACACTTGGCTTAATGCTTTCGTTATGGGTTGTTCATTAATCCATTAATAATAAGTAACCTTTTCATTGAGGAAGAGGTAAGTTAAATAATCCTTGATTCTGTAGGTGCAATTAGTTATACAGATATTAATTTGTCTTCTTCAATTCAGGTGCTATTTTTAAAAAAATCTAAGATGAGAAGTAGTAGTAGTTTAACAGCTATCTATTCTTTCCAACATTTTCAGAAAGCACATGAAAATGAACCTGAAACAAGCCAAGAGCAGGGGTATTCATTAATTTAATACCCTTTAATCTTGGGAATTGAAGCTCAAGAGGAATCCATTGAATCCAGAATACAAACTTCCACCTCCAAACTCCTGCAAGACATCTCCACATGGGTTCTGTGGCACTTTCTACTCCACGGCCTAGTTGTGCTCTCATTATTGCCCAAGGCAGAAATCTGCCCTCATGCGGCCTCCCTGTCTCAGCAGTGGACTGTCCCCCAACACAGGGGCTGCACAACTCAGATCTGCTCAGCCTCTGTTCCTGGCTGTCCTCCCCACTGCAAACCTGCCACATCCTCTGGACTTTGTCAGGACCTCACAGAGGCAGCCCTTGCGCTTCTCAGGAGTGAGCTCTCAGGTAGCTAAGGCCTCTTTACCTTGCACTCCCACCTTCTCATTCACTCCCCTGGGGTCCTCAGCTACAGTAAACAGCCTAGACAATCCAGATCCAGCTGCACTGTCTCATTCTCAAAGGAAACAACAAACAAGAAAACCCAAACATTTCACTTTCATCATAATAACATACTTACTCACTAAGTCACAAAGATTTAGAATAAGTGTATCTATGGGTCTCACCTTCTGAGATATTACTGAACTTTTGTTTTTAAGAAGACTGGCCTAGAATGTCCAGATTAACTTGGTAGGGAGTATATTTTTATTAAGTAAGGACGCCTTGGATTTAGTGCAGGAATGTTTTAAAGCGGCCCAGCATGGCGATGCATGCCTGTAATACCCAGCAACTCAGGAGGTTGAGGCAAAAGGATCTCTAGTTTAAGGACAGTTTGGGTGACTTAGTGAGATCCTGTTTCAAAAATGAAAAATAAGAGAGAAAGAAAATGGTAAAGTGGAGTTCAGAAGCAAAATAATGCAATGAGACGAATAAGTCAATAACTTTCAGTAGTGACTTTCAACGTGAATGCTCTACATTTTCCAGTCAAAAAACACAAAGTAGCAGAATGGATCAAGAAACAAAGCTCAATGATATGCAGTACACAAGAAACATATTTAATCCAAAAAGAAATACAAAGATTAAAAATCAAAGGATAGATACCCATGAAACGGGAACCCAGACAAAAAGCAGGACGAGCTATCCTAATTTCAGACAAAGTGAATTTCCAGCCAAAATTGATCAGAACAGACAAAGGTCACTGCCTGTTGGGAACAATTGAAAGAAAGATATAACAATTATAAACATATATGCATTAAACACCAGTATATCCAATTTCATGAAACAAATACTGGTAGACACAAAAAAATCAGATAAACTAACACAATTATAATACCCACTGTCACAAATAAGATAGATTAACTAGACAAAAAAAGCAACCAAGTTACATCAGAGAAGTGCACTTAATAATCTACAGAGTGTTCCACACAACAACACCAAAATATAAATTATTCTCAGCAGCACATGGGATTTTCTCCAAAACTGACCACATGCTAGCCCATAAAAGTACTTAAGTAAATGCAAAAGAACCAAAATTATCCCATGCATGCTCTTAGATCATAGTGCAAAGAAACTAGAAACCAATGGCAAAAGCAACCTCAGAAATTATGCAAATGGAAATTAAACAATACTCTGTTAAGTAATCAATGGGTCACAAAAGAACTCAAGTAAGAAATTATATAGTTCCTAAAATCAATGATAATGCCAGTATAACATACCGGAAACTATGGGACACAAAGAAAGCAGTCCTAAGAGGAAAGTTAATACCTGTGAATGCCCACATCAGAAAAATAGAGTAATCTGGGCATGGTGGCACACACCTGTAATCCCAGCACCTGGAATACTGAGGCAGGAGGATTGCCTCGAGTTTGAGGGCAGCTTGAATTACACAGTGAGATCCTGTCTCAAAAGAAAGAAAAAGAAAAACAGAGAGAGCCCAAATCAATAACCTGATGATGCACCTCAAGGTCTTGAAAAACAAGAGCAATCCAAATCCAAAGCTAGGACAAGGAAGGAAATTATCAAGATCAGAGCAGAAATTAATTGAATTGAGACTAAAAATAATACAAAGAATCAATGAATTGAAGAGCTGGTTCTTTGAAAGAATACACAAAATACACAAACTTTTAGCCATTCTCATAAAAACCCAAATCGATGCAGTTAGAAATAGAAAAAGCAAAAATCACAATGGACTCTGCTGAAATCCAGAAGATTATTAGTAATGACTTTGAGAATCTGTACTCTAATAAAATGAAGAATTCAGAAGAAATGTATAGATTCCTAGATACTTATGAACCACATGCCATTGAACCAAAAAGACAAAAAACCCTGAATAATTTAATATTAGGTAATGAGAATGAAGAGCTAATAACAACAACTACCAACTAAGAAAAGTCATGTCCTGATGGATTCAAGAACTTTAGAGGGCTGGGGATTTAGCTCAGTGGTGCGACTGCCTGCCTCACAAATGCAAAGACCTGAGTTCGACCCCCTGTACCAAAAAACCAACCAACCAACCAACAAACAAGAACTTCAGGGAAGTTTCTAATGCAGCATTCCTGAAACTTTAATGAAATCAAAAGGGAAGGAGTACTCCCAAAGTCAGTCCTGGAAGCTAGTATGACCCTGGTCCCCAAACCAGAAAAGGACTCAACCAAAAAAGAGAACTACAGGCCAATCTCCTTAATGAACATTGACACAAAAATCCTCAGCAAGATATGGTAAATGGGATGCAACAAATTATTAAAAAGATCATATATCATGACAATGTAGGACTCATCCCAGGGATGCAAAGATGGTTCAACATATACAAATCAATAAATGTAATACATCACATAAACAGACGCAAGGATAAAAATCATGACTGTCTTAACCGACACAGAAAAGTCCTCTAACAAACTACAACATCCATTCAAGATAAAAATCCAAAAGAAATTAGGTAAGGAAGGACTTTATCTTAATCTAATGGTAAAAGCCGTTTATGACAAACCAATGGCCAACATCATATTAAACTGGGAAAAGCTGAAAGTCTTCCCTCTAAATCAGGAACAAGGCAAGGCTATCTGCTATAAACACTACTGTTCAATATAGTTTTTTTTTTTTTTTTTTGTACTGGGGATTGAACTCAGGACCTTGAGCTTGCAAGGCAGGCGGCGGCACCACTGAGCTAAATACCCAGCCCTCAATACAGTTCTTGAAATATCAGTCAGAGCAATCAGGTAAGAGAAAGAAATACAAAGGACATGGAGAGAAAAGGAAGAAGTCAAATTATCATTATTTGCAGATGACACGATACTCTACATAGAAGACCCCCAAAAATTTCACAGACTCCTAGAATTAATAGCCAAATTCAGCAATGTAGCAGGATGCAAAGTCAAAACACACAAATCAACAGTGTTCCTGTACACCAATAATAAACTCAACAAGGAAATTAGGGATACAATACCTCTCATAAGCATCAAGAAAAATTAAGTTAACCTAACCAAGGAAGTGAAAGATCCCTATAGTGAAAACTACATTACTTCAAAAAAGGAGATCAAACAGGACATCAGAAAATGGAAAGATAACCTCTGTTCCTCGGAAGGCAGAACCAATATAGTCAAAATGGCCACTTTTCCAAAACTGATATACAGATTTAATGCCATCTCAATCAAAATATCAAGAGCATTCCTCACAGAATAAGTGAAAACAATATTAAAATTCATATGAAACCAGAAGAGACCCAGAATATCAAAAGCAATCCTGGGCAACAAGATCAAGGCAGATGTACCACAATTCCAGACTTTAAGTTTACTACAAAGCAACAGTGATAATAACAGAATGGTATTGGGGAAAACCTTACGCAGGGTGGGGAGAGATAGCCTCTTTCACCAAGTGGTGAGAAAACTGGCTATCCACATGCGTAAGATGGAGTTTTGACCTGTATCTCTGAAATCAAAATGGATCAAAGATCTAAATACTAAAATAGAAATATTTAGCCTGCTGGAAGATAAAATAGGTAAAACTCTTGAAGACATAGGTATAGGCAAGGACTTTCTGAACAGAATGCCAATTGTACAAGAAATGCCAAGTGTCAACGAGTAGGATCATATTTAAAGACTTCTGCACAGTAAAGGAAACCAACAGAGGGAAGAAGCAGCCTACAGAATGGGAAGACATTTTTGCCATCTATTCCTTTGACAGAGGACTAATATCTAGGATATATAAAATTTTTTTAAAAATCACTCTTCAATCAAACCCAATTAAAAATGGGCAACTGCAATAAACAGACACTTCTAGAAGAAATACAAATGCCCAATAAATATATAAAAAATGTGCATCATCTTCGGCAGTTAGAGAAATACAAATTAAAATGCCGAGATTCCCTCTTACTCCAGAAAGAAAGGCCATCATCAAGAAATTAGATAACACCAAATGCTGGGGAGGCTGGGTGGGACAGCCCTTCTACACTGTTGGTGGGATTGTAAACTATTCAACTATTATGAATATCAGCATAGAGATTCTGCAAAAATCTAAAAAGAAAGAAAGAGGCTGGGGATTTAGCTCAGCGGTTTGGTGCCTGCCTCGCAAGCTCAAGGACCCGAGTTCGATTCCGGTACCAAAAAAAAAACCCAAAACAACAAAAAAACAAAAACAAAAACAAAAAGCACAGTAAAAAGAAAGAAAGAAATTCCATTCAACCCAGCTTTTTCCCTTCCACCATATCTTCCTGAAAGAATTAAAGACATCATATTACAGCGATACATGCATGCCCATGTTTATAGCAGCAAAATTCACAAAAGCTAAATCTTGGTAGTAGTGGCCTACAGCCATCAACAGATGACTAAAGAAAATGTGGCAGTTATACACAATGGAGAGATCATAACGTAAAGTGAAATAAATCAGACACATGAGCTTAATTAAGTATGACATGGTTTCTTTTATATAAGAAACCCAATATATAAATAAAGAGCAAAATAAAAGATAATAGGAAAAAAAGAAATGGAGGAGGAGAGAGTACAGGAAAAAATAAATGTAGACGGGAGGGGATGTAAAACGGTTTAAGATGTGTTATGTACATGTACCGACTCCTTACAATTAATGTAATCAGTATGTACTGCAAACATGCATTAATTAAAAAAAAAAAACAAACCAGAAAGGACTCAGGATGTAGTTTAGAGCTCCAGTGCCGGGATTCCATCTCGAGTACACTACCAAAAAGGGTACTAACAAGCACAGGGCACAGAGCTAGTTACCAAGGCTGACCCTGCCGGCCTACCCACCTCACCCGTTTGCTCTGCGCCTTACCAGTCACCAGCCCCGGTGGCCTTTCTGTTTTGAAAATGCACGCCAAGCCACCGCCTGGCATCTCCACCCTCTGGAAACGCTTTCTCCAGAGGCCTGGTTTGCTTGACTCCTGTATCACACTTCAAAAGTAGCTTTCTCAGACACACCCCCTGACCACCCCAAGAAAGTGTCTCCTGTTACCCCCGAACTCGAGCCCTTGTCATTTCCTGTCATTATTTCCTGTCCTTTCCAGCTCCCTCAGTGGAATGTAAGAACGGTAAGGACCATGGAGCTCCAGGGAGTAGCAGAGTGCCAGGCACTGAGACACTCAGCATTTGTGGAGCCCAGAGGCCAACAAGCCCTGGGGAGCCGGTGGCTATTGCCAGTACTGTGAGGATCTTTACAGCTCCTTCCTCAGGACACAGCGTTACCTTTCAGAGCACCCAGAGCTGATGGTGTTGACCTCCCGTCCCAGGCTCACCCTTGGTTATCCTGCGGCCATCATCTCTGGCCTACCTCCTAGGAGCCGAGCTTCACGCATAAAAGCACAGTCTCTGAGGCAGAAGGAACACAAGTTCGAGTCCAACTTGAGCAAGCCAGTGATTTAAGGAGACGCTGCCTCAAAATATTAAAGAAATAAAAAGGGCTGGAGATGTTTAATCGCCAGTATCACCCTCCTCAACAAAACAAAACACACCACTGTCTCCGCTGCCCTCAGCAAGGACCTCAGGTGAGTTCTTTGCCAGGGCCGGGTCATGACTTTTGTGGGCTCTGGGCCCCTCCTCCACTAAAATATACTTCAACAATTCTACTTTACCCTGCATTTACTACTTTTTGCCAACAATTAAAGAAACTTAACGCCACTTTCTTGGGCACTAGACACTACCCCTGGTACCTCTGTGCCCAACTCTAGGTATTAGCAGTACCGGAAGCCGCAACCAGGTAGGACCAAGGGCCCTGGCCAGTGGGAATCTTCCGGGCC